CTCCTGTCCCCATAGCACCCTCATGTCCCTATAGCCCCCTCCTGTCCCCATAGCCCCCTCATGTCCCCATAGCCCTCTCCTGTCCCCATAGCACCCTCATGTCCCTATAGCTCCCTCCTGTCCCCATAGCCCCCTCATATCCCCATAGCCCCCTCATGTCCCTCTATCCCCCTCATGTCCCTATAGCTCCCTCATGTCCCTATAGCTCCTCTCCTGTCCCCAAAGCCCCCTCCTGTCCCCAAAGCATCTGTTACCGGTTGTTGATCTTGTTCTTTTCCACTTGTTCACTCTGGCGCTGGTTCCATTCCTCCAGGTCCTTCTTGGCCTTCTCCCGCCACTCCTGTTCTGTCACCTTGGAGGCAGCATCTGCAACCCCAACAGGAGTATGAGTGGCAGCTTTCCAGTAGGGACACGAGGGACACAACCGCCCCAGCTGCTTCTCCCCTTGTCCCCAGTGCCCATTCTCACACAGTTCCCACATTAGAGGGGGTGTGCATATACCTTAAAGTTCCCCACCCACCACCGTGTCCCAAAGCAGCCCAGCCTCAGCCCTGCCCTCACCCAGCTCTTGCAGCCGTTTCCTCTGCTCCTCTCTCCATTTGCGGATGCTCTCGGGCTCCTGTGTCAGCCTGTCGACCTGGGCAATGGCAGCATAGCCGTCAGCGGGGCCGTTAGCCTCCTAGGACACAAACACACAGCCATGTACCCAGGCCATCCACCTGCCTCCCGGTGTCTACTGCCCAAGGATCAGGACATCCCCTCACATTCTTTTTTCTTACTTATTTAACTTATTGGGGTGACATTGGTTAACAAAATTCTACAGGTTTCAGGTGCACAATTCTACAACACATCATCTGTACATTGTATTGTGTGTTCACCACCCTAGTCAAGTCTTCCATCACCATTTATTTATACCCCACCTTTTTTTTTCTTTTTAGAAAAGCAAGAATTTATTGACCACAGCAAAAGCACACTTATGACAAGGAAGGGCTGCTTTGGCTCACTGGGAAGTCAAAGAAAAGGGGGCCTTAGAGATGGGTTTGGGGGAGTGGGGGGAGCTGCCACTGCCCATTGCTCCCCTGGTTGCAAGTCTCGTGGGGTCCCTTGGAGTTTAGAAGATACGTGCCTGTTGGGGAAGGAGAGGGGAGAGAGAATGGCACAAGTGTACTCCCTGAAAGGAGAGTGCCCACTGTTATTTGTTTGTTTGTTTTATAATTTATTTTTAGAGAGAGGAGAGAGAGAGAGACATTAATGTGAGAGAAAAACATGATCAGTTGCCTCCTGTACACACCCCAACTGAGGGCCAAACCCACAGCTGGGGCATATGCCCTGACTGGGAATTGAACCAGCAACCTATTGATGCACAGGACAATGCTCAACCAACTGAGCCACACTGGCCAGGGCTCACCCACTATTTTTTAAAGATATTTTTATTATTTTTTAACATATATTTTTATTGATTTCAGAGAGGGAGAGAAAGATAGACACATCAATGAGAGAGAATCATTGATCAGCTGCCTCCTGCACGCCCCCTACTGGGGATCGAGCCCTGGCCGGGAATCAAACTGTGTGACCCCCTAGTTCATAAGTCAACGCTCAACCACTGAGCAACACTGGCCAGCCTCAAGCACTATTTTTAACAAATGTTAGTGAATAGGCCATATGTTGGGAAAAAATAGTAATTTCACAGACATAAATAAATATTACATATCTATAACTATAGTTTACATATATATTTAAATCCAAGAGTTACCACTCATAAACAATGTTCAGTGAATGATTAACACGTGATCACACCGCATTGTGCGAAGTAATTGGTTCTGTGGTCCCTGGCATGAGTTTCTGCAGCAGTTTTAACTCGCGCCAGCAATGTTCCCACATGCTAAGGCACGCCCCAGCCTTGTACATTTGTTTACTCGCAGTGACTGGTGAATGCACGCATTTACTAGGCTTACTCAGTATAAATTTAAAATTATAGCACTATATATAGAAAACTTTTCTGTGAAATTAAACTTTTCACACATACTTGATTTTTTAAACTATTTTAAAATATATTTTTTTATTGATTTCAGAGAGGGAGAGGGAGAGAGAGAGAGAGAAACATCAATGATGAGAGAGAATCATTGATCAGCTGCCTCCTACATGCCCCCCACCAGGGATCAAGCCTGCAACCCGAGCGTGTGCTCTGACCAGGAAGAACCTGGGACCTCTTGGTGTGTGGGATGACGCTCAACCAACTGGGCCACACCAGCCAGGTTGTTTATTTTTGTTTGTTTGTTTCCCTTGCCCGAGGACATGTATCAGAAAAAATATTCCTATGAGAAAGGTCTGAGATTTTACTGCCTGTTTTCTCCTAGGATTT